AAGTGGGAAATGAGAATGATGCAAGTGTCGTTATGATTTGTTATTGACAATTTTCAATCGTTGGGTGGTCCAATGCTCAAGGTCGTTGCGGTGGAAAAGAAGCAAAAATATTGGAGAAATCAACAGAACGGCACAAATGTCGTTACTGGTCACGTGTGTCGTTCTGTCGATAAACAGAAGTATGAGCAGCCATAAACCGTCCGAGCTTTGGTATTCAATAAATTGAACTCATTTAAGTTGCCAGATGGATGTGCCGTTTACAAAATTTGAGAGTTACGTTCACTAATTATGTGTTTTCTAACGAATGTAGATAGCAACTTGTGATGTCACCTACTCATTATCATATAATCTATTGGAGAAATGAACAAAAAGTATTGACGAAAATACGGGGGTGGGCCCCCCTTCCCGGGGGTTTCGGCCCCCGAATTTTTTTTTTTAAATAAGAGGATTGAAAACGATTTTAAATAAGAGTACCAAAATAGGGAAGTTACTGCCTTGAGAATGTCTACCAGAACGACAAAACCGTCGTTCTGTATCTAAAATCGATTTTGAAGAGCCGCGATCCATCCAAACCACGATAATGATATGTTGAACTCATTTAAGTTGCAAGCTGAACATGCCGCTTACAACATTCGAAATTTATGCTCATTACTTAATCAAGAGGAAAAAAAAACGGCACAACTGTCGTTATTGTTTTGAAAACGGCACAAGTGTCGTTGTGGCTCTAAAATCGATTTTGAAGAGCCGCGACCCGTCCAAACTACGATAATGATGAGTTGAACTCATTTAAGTTGCAGGTTGGACACGCTGCTTACAACATTCAAAATTTAGACTCATTACTTAATCAAGAGGAAAAAAGAAAACGACACAACTACCGTTACTGTTTTGAAAACGGCATAAGTGTCGTTCTGGCTCTAAAATCGATTTTGAAGAATTGCGACCCGTCAAAACCACGATAATGATGAGTTGAACTCATTTAAGTTGCAGGATACACACGTCGCTTACAACATTCAAAATTTATGCTCATTACTTAATCAAGAGGAAAAAAGAAAACGACACAACTGTCGTTACTGTTTTGAAAACGGCACAAGTGTCGTATTGTCTCTAAAATCGATTTTGAAGCGCCGCGCCCCATCCAAACACCGATAATG